GTATGTATGTACTGTATGTCTTATGACTGTGATGTTACTTATTATTTGTTGTGTATTATATATTTTATATATAATTTATCTATATTATATATATATATATATATATAAGTATTTTATTTGTTCCTGAGTAAATCGGTTTGGCTGAGATTAAAGTTATAGTTTTTACACAGCTGAATAAACATCAAGCAGACAGCTGATCATCAGAAGTGTGAGATGCTGGAAAATTTACTCCGGTGTCCTGTTATATTTTAGATAGAAAGGAGTTTATTAAACTTCACCGAAACAATCTGCAAATTTCATTAAAATTTAATAAACTATCATCTTGTCTTTATTTTTAGTTAGCACATACCTTAAACACTTAAAGCTGTAAGCTAATGATAGTTATAGAAGAGCAGATGCTGCTGGTGCAATAAGCTGTACGTTTTACGTTCAGTGGATGATGATCTGATTAGTCGACTATCAAATTAATCGTTTGTGGCAGCCCAACACCACCATCTCCTCGGTACTAAACATAGTAATATGATTGCTTTTCCCACAAAAGATTTAAACACAGACAAGCTTCAAAAAAGCACAACATCTGGCATAAATGTGCATAGATATATTAACAACAAGTTATTTTAGAAGCCGTGGACAAAACAAGACATTTTGGATGTTCGATGTGGAGAAGACTGGATTAAAATGATCTTTATGCCTTCTGGCTGTTCTTCTACCAGCAAGAAAATATCAATACAATCACTAAAGTAATTGTATTGTTTTCTCCTGCTGGTAAAAGAAAAGAAAAAGTCAAAGAAAATCAGTTTTTTAAGTCATGAGTTGCAAACATTGTGAATCAAATTACAGAGTGATATACTCAGAGCGATGGGTCTTTAGAAATCAAACCTGCAACAGAGAATAATAATAAGACCAAAGGAGAGGACCCTGAAAATCTTTTTCTTTTTTTCTACTTTTGTTAAAATTCTAAAGAGGAATGGAATAAAGACACCCCAAAACTGAAAAGTAGAGCCAACAAAATGTGAGCTTTAATAAGGAGCTGATGGAAGCTGAAGGAAAATGAAGGCATGTAGCAAAGAAGGGAAAGCGCACCATGATAATGGGGATCAGGTAGGGACAAAAAGACAGAGAGACAAACAAGGAGAATGATCTTTATAAAGCAGAACAGCAAAACCAAAGGCCTCAGAATGATGGGGCCTGATGAAACCACACGTTTCTGTGCTTATTTAACATGAGATGCTTCTGTGCTTCTCTTTTGTGGTCTTATCACTTGGTTTCAGGTTGGGTCGTTTACTTACATTACCGACGGTGTCCATCATATCTGATGAAAACACCCTCGCAGCCGTGCAACCTTTTCTGAGATTTAGTCATATGTGATAGAAGTTGAGAGAGAAATGGTCCCAACCATCCTCATCCTTGTTATCTGTTATACCTAAAAATAAAAATGTATTTATTTATTCTCCACATATTCCCCAAATCTTCCCCAACCTCCAAAAAAACAGGAAATCCATATCCTGTCTGTGTTCTCACCCGAGCCTAAACAGGCACTTGTTAATCACTTAACTGCTTAAACGTGTAACCAAAGTTCAGGGGAAAGTCTTTTGTTTATTTCATTTAGATGATGAAAAAGCTGAGCCGCAGTTCTGGATCAGGCGGCTAAATTAAAAAATCTGCTAAAAGCCAGATCAATTATGTAAAACATGAGGGTGCGATCAATCTGAAGCTCAGCAAAAGGATTCTAATAAGCAACACAAACCGATGTTTTGAATGCACAGTTAATACCAAGTCATTTGAATACATTAGAGACAAACAAAAGTCACCACCATTTACTTAATACTTGCAGATGAGAGGAAGAAAAAAAAAAACGATTTTTGAGGGCCAGCTGAAAAGCCTGTGAGGATTTAAGCGACTCTTTCCAGCGTTCAGCGGAAACCGTTTTGTGATTAATCGCGGTAACAATTAGTCACTTAATCATATGAGTGAATACAAAAACTTCAATCTCATTTTCTGTTTTTCTAATTACGAATGCAAAGCCTGACAGCCCCGTTAGTCGGTGGGATAATGAGATGGCGCCCGGTGAAAGAGCGGGTCGCTCCGCCGTTAGCCAACATGACCTCCGCTGTTCACCGATTGCTTCTGTTATCTGTACAGAAAATACCTCGCTCTCCTGTTCTAACGAACACGTTACTCAGCACAGGAGCTGCAGTCACCTCACACATTGTGGTTACTGCACGTAATCTCCATTTATACAGTTACATACCTTAATGTGACAGCCCAACAACCCGACAAGCATTAAAATGTATGAGGATATTAAACAAAGCAGATTTAGGCGAACAAATAAAATAAAAACAATAATCCTGTGATTTTTCTTTCAGCTAAATCTAGCTGGAGAGGGGGACAGACATGGCTGATGGCTGCTCTGGTTTAAATCATACGTGGTCCAATGACTGGCCTTCAGTGTGAGGTCAGAATAATGGCTTTTATCCTTTATGCTCCAACCACCTGGAAATCTTCACAACGCATTGTTGGAAATGACAATAAGCCCTCGATGAGTTTTTAATTTAAAAAAATCTCATTTTGTACGTGAAAGTGGTTCCATAGTGGACTGGTTTACACGTTTGCCTAACAAAGCAAGATCCCATCTGAAGACCAGGAGGAGGCACAAATCTCTCGTCGGGTTTTGTCAGGAAGCTCAAAAATCTGCCACATCAAAGCTGCTTGAATATTTGAGCTTGGGAGCATGAAAAAGTACTTACACCCTTCCTGATTTCTTAGTTTTCTGTATATTTGTCACACTTAACTGTTCCAGATCATCAGATTTTAATGTTAGACAACAATTACCTGAGTAAATACAAACTGCAGTTCTTTTTGCTTTTCATTTTTAAGGGACAACAGCTACTGAAACCTACCTGGCCCTATCTGAAAAAGTAATTGCTCTTCTTGTTAAATCATTAACAGAATTTTCACTAGCCACACCCAGGCCAGATTATTGTCTAAAACTATTTAGAAGTTATCCAATAATCAATAAACAGAGGTAGGGTAAAAGATCTCAAAACAATACATCATGCCACAATCTAAAGAAACAGCTGAGAAACAAAATCACTATCAGTCATGAAAGTGTTACAAAGCCATTTTTAAGGCTTTGTCTCTCACCGTGGTTCGCTGGAATCTCTTCGTCCACAAATGGAGAAAACCTGGAACAGTGGTGAACCCTCGCAGGAGAGGCTGGCTTACTGAAGAGCTCATCAGCGACTCATCCAGGAGGTCACAGAAGAAACCAGAACAAATTCAAAAGAACTGCAGGCCTCACTTAAGGTCAGAGTTCTTGAGATTGGGCAGAAATATCATCTGTGACAGAGTTCCAGGGAGAAAACACTGCTGACCAAAACGGAGACAAAGCCTCATATCACATTTGCCAAAAAACATCTTGATGATCCCGAAGTGTTTTGGGAATACATTCTGTAGACTGATGGAAGGAAATTGGAACTTTTTGAAAAGTTTGCATCTCGTTATATCCGATGTAAAAATAACTTGCTATAAATGATGTAACCCTGAATTCTGCTCTCTACCAGAAAATCCTGAAGGAGAAAGTCCAGTCATCAGTTCTTGCCCTGAAGCTCAAGCTCACTCAGGTTATGCAGGACAATAATCTGGAGTCCAGTACTCTTAATGGCTAGAAAAACAAACAGTGGCCTAATCAAACTCCAGACTCAAATCAGATCAAGATGCTTTAGCATGATGCTCGAAAACTCCACAACGAGCTGAATCACAACAACTCTACAAAGAAGAATCGGCCAAAATTCCTCCACGGCGAAGTGAAAGATTCATTGCCAGTCATCACAAACACTTGATGGTAGTTCTCGCTGCCAAGGGTGGCACAATCAATTTTAGGTTTTACTTTTTCACTCAGGGCCAGGTTTGGATAGTGTTTTCTCTCCTTTTTCCTCCTGATTTAAAACCTGTATTTTGTATTTACAGGGGTTATCTTTGTCTAACACTAAAATTAGTTTGATGACCTGAAACATCTTAGTGTGACAAATATGCTGAAAACTAAAAATTCAGGAAAGGGGACATACACTTTTTCACAGCATTTTAGATCATTAATATTGTACATCACAAAGAGGGTTTTTACCCTTGACTCTAAGACATCCCAACTCTTATGCGACTGTGACTGTTATTGGGAAAATTATTGGGACCACTTGCAATGAACTTCTGATCCTGATGACTTTGAAATGGTTGTTTTAAGACCGAGGTAGGGCTGTGCGATATGACCAAAATCTCATATCCCGATATAAGACATTTATCATCCCGACAACGTTATAAATCACAAAAATGTAGCATTTTCTGTAAATTCTGTAAATTTCGGGCAACTCAACTTGTGTGAAGTGTTTCCAGCTGGGCGTCGTGTACCTGGAGTCGAGTGTTTTGACCGATGCATGAAACTATACATTTTTAGACATAAGTTGTAACGGCCGTCATTTACTTTGTGAGTATTACACGGCGTGCTGCGGGGAAAAGCCAGTTTTAATGTTTGAGTCTAAGGTTTACTTTGAGCACCTGACGGCTCTTTTTTGCTTCTCATCCATAAACTCTTTCCATACTCTTTCACGTGATTCTTGCGTAGGTGGTAAAAGAGGTTTGCCATGTTTGAGTCTGAGGTGGGGACCGGTTTGCAGCATAATTTCCATAGTAGAGTTTTCGGGTCCGTGTCAGACTTTTCATAACCAAACCATGTCCATGCTGCAGAGGGAGCCCCTCGTTTAAAAATAAGGTCCTCGATTTGTTTTGTTTTGGTCATTCTGTTTGTCATCATTTCAGTTTATTTTGAAAAATCTCAACAGGATCTTCAGCTTTATTGTGAAAGGCTTGGGTGGAAAATAAACAAGCGGACAGCAGAGCCACAGAGCTTATCCGTCCGTAGTGTGGTTATTTTAAATATAACAGAAAGAGAGAACTTTCTGTTATATTCACTATAGTGACCATCAAAACGATGAAAAAAATATTGCTGTTTATTTTGCGACACCATGAAACAAACGATAGCGTAAAATGAAACGATAGATTTTTTCATACCGTCATCCGATATATATCGTTATACTGAACAGCCCGAGACTGAGGCTACAACTACTTGCAGTCAGATGACGACTTCCTTGTCCTTGTCGTCCTGTTTATATCCTTGTTAGACTGAGTGATGCTTACACTGACTGAGCATAAAGACGCTTATTATTTTGGGAAAGCTTATGAAGATATTGGAGCCAGTGAAATAATGTAATGAATTGTGGTTTACACGTGAGTGCTATTATTTGATTCTTCTTGTATTTGTGTTGTATTATTGCTGCCAGCAGTGCGGCCTTGATTAATGTTCGAGTCTTAAAATTATTCAGCAGAAAACTGGAGTGTCAAAAAGAAGAATCCCTAATCCTTTCAAATTAAGAGCTTTTTCTGAATGGCTGTAACGAATTGCTTCGTGCTTGCTGTGTTTGATAATGTAATTACGGCTCTGACAGGAAGCAGCACTCATGAACAACAACCTCATCTGGCTTCAGTGTTTCCACCATTAATTTATTACGCAAAAGGCTGCTGGCTTAGTTTCCTCTGCTGATCTGTTGATGCAATAATCAACTACCTACAACAAAAAACATATTATAGTAGCCAAATTTGCTAACTCGATGCATTAACTTGTCTTATTGTATAAATGTGCAAAAACTCTTTCTTTTTCTTAACTTTCAGCACTTTTTTCCCGGGCTCGCATAATGAGCTGTACACTTGCAGCTCCAGATACCATCAAGGGAAAAGGTGAGAAAATTTTTACAGGGAAGACATTACACACAGCAGTCAGGGATAACGAGCGCTGAATAAAACCACAACTCTCGTAATGAAAGAGGCTGTGAAGACGAATAAAAGGCTGAAATAGTTTCCTTCATCTCTCCGCTCTAATAGGGTTTTCTCCACAGCACAATAAGTGTCTTTTGTGAAAGAAGCACTAACTAATGTTTTAACACCCTCTGTGTTCATGCATTTCTTCAACAATGGACGACAGGGCTGTGGGTTTTCAGCCCTGTTCTCATTCCAGAGCTTCATTACGCCATTGTTCAGCGTAACGATTATTACCTCTGTTTTGCTTCATCACTGTGTGCCTCTGTTGCTGGAGCTCTGCTTCAAACACAAACCACGGGCCATTCTGAAAACGTGAGACTTCTGATTACTGTTGGAGTCGATTACTAGTAGGCAGAGGAGCGGGTGTGAGTCAAAAGAATGTCGTGTCACTATATTTTGGTCCGTTTTAGTCAGAACTGCTCCGTGCTTCTTGTTGCTGCTCTTTGGGGAAATTTCTCCAATCTCAGCCCAACCTGTGTGCAATTACTAACGCCACAGTTGTATTTTCTAGTTCCAGCGGCTGCCAAAGTAGAAATGAGATAGAAAATGGGGGTGAAAAACCTGCTGTTATGCTGGTAATGACATGTGTTTTGACAGCAGTCCAAACATATTGAAAATGTTTGAAGTTTTTTTTTGAGGCATTATGTAAATTAATGTTAATGTCAGTGGTCACAGGTTCGTACAGACAGCAAACTTGATCCCAAAATAAACTGTGTTTTCTACACCAAGTGTAAAACATGACGGAGGTTCTGCCATGGTTTCTGGCTGTGTTTCAGTCAGTGATGTTGGGGATTATTTTGTGTTCATTTTTCAGCATGGCAAATTCAATTCAATTTTATTTATACAGCGCCAAAGCACAACAGCGGTTGCCTCAATGCGCTTTATATTGTAAGGTAGACCCTACAATAGCACATACAGAGAAAAATCCAACAATCCTATGAACCCCTATGAACAAGCACTTAGGTGACAGTGGGAAGGAAAAACTCCTTTTTAATAGGAAGAAACCTCCTACAGAACCAGGCTCAGGGACAGGCGGGGCCAACTGCTGCAACTGATTGGGGACAGAGAAGAAAGACAGGATAAAGTCCCCAAACACTGCAGTAATCCAATCCAGTAAAATCAAAACTACCCGTCATGGACTGGCCTCCCCAGACCTCAGACCTCAGCCGCATTGAATCTCAACATCCAAAGAAGAGCTTTAAATGTCCTTCAAGAAGCCTGCAGAACTATTCCTGAACACTACTTAAAGAAAGACGCGGAAGATGGCTCAGAGAGTTCAGACTGTGTAGAAGAATAAAGGTGGCCATAACAAATATTGACTTTTAAGCTTGTTAGAATTGCACAAACTCTGTTTTGGTTCTGGTTCTGGTGTTAACGTCATTTTAACGAGATTAACGCTGACAGCACTATTATATACCCATGCATGTTTGCATATATTCTAATAACTAGCTGCTTTGCCATGTTCCTAGTAAAATATAAAGTGACTTTTCCGCAATACTGTAGTTACCACACTGGAAAAGTACTGATTGCTTTTCCTGAATCGCCAAAGCCAGAAGTCTACATTCCAGCTTGAGGGTTCGCAAACATCACATTGTGTATGTAAAGCTGTTATAGACAGCCTGTGTTTACTGTCAGAGAAAAGCTTCCAGGCTGGACACTAAAGGACTGAACATGTACACGATTTAAGAATCCTTTTACGCTTAGTGGAGTTGGATCCACGTCTTGCTCGACGCTGAGACAAAATCCTGCTTTAATGTCTTTGGCTGGAACGTAACTGTAACATAAACAGACAGGAAAGCACTGAGATTGCCTTTTGAACTTAAAACTTGAAACAGTAAAATATACCACAAAAATTGTAACTTAACCCCTGCTGTGAGCTTAAGCATGAAAAATGAAAACAAAAAGTGCTCCTCTGTCAGCGATTATCCACTTTGCCCAAAGATAATTTGGAGTATTTAGCAGAAAACACGGAGCCACTTAGTTCATCAACACTGCACTAAAAAAACAGCTGGATCCTGTTTTGCACGCTGGACTTTCCTGCTAAGAGTAAATAGTCTTTTTAGTGTGCTCTCTTTTCCCTTGGCCATATGCATCTGGCACAAACAGCTTTTCAGCGCTGCGAGTGCTTCATGCTGTGAGCTGTCATTGTCTCTGCTTTGCCAAACAAGTGGTTTGACCCAGAGAAAATCAATACGCCACTGCATGACTTCAAATACAGCTGCTTTCTACTTTCATGAGGCTACAAAAGACCTTCAATTATGGCCGTCTCTGACCAATGCCGAGCTGCTAAACTACATGATCAAAGGTTGCCATAGCGAGAGCATGAAAGCGGCACAGTGGTACCGGTTTCCTTCAGGCCACTGAGTCTCACTGCATCTTTATAGAAATGGCTTGTATAATGTATCAGACGTGTAAACAAAGTGGTCTGTGCCAGTTTTGCTTTGCTGAAGAAACACTCCAGTCGCTTATTATACAATCATAAAACCTGGCAGGACGTTTCCTGTGTTATTACAGATGCGTTTAAAGGCTCGGTTATTAAAATGTTCTCTACCCACAGCCCTGTGTCACAGCTTTTATAGGCAGCAAGAGGTTTAACCAAAGTGATTTTTCTTTCTTACACTTGGACTGCATTCAAGAAACCCAGAAGAGGTAAATACAAATTGCTTAGAACTGTCTTGCCACCACCCAGGTTCCTGTAAAGTGCAGATTCAGCCCAAACCTCGTATACAGAACTGGAGGATTCAAAAGAACTCATTTCAGGCTTAAACACCCCGACCTTTCTCACCTCTTTGGGCTGAAGGTTAATTTCTCAAGCATTAAACCTGCATTGTTTTCAGTGGCCGCCAGGTGGTGATGCATACGGCTCACACAAGACTTCAGGTCCTACAGAAGACCTCCCTCCACCCTGATCTCTGTAAACACTTTACTGAGGAGTTTAAGGGCTCAGTTACGGATAAAACTCCTCATAAGCAGGATTATACAGGACGTGCTCATTGGTTATTCAGTCAGAGTGTGATTTCACAGTCAGATCCACACCTCATTGGTCTGGCTTCAAAAGCACCAAGATGGTGATGGCAAAAACACTCAGCTCAAGGATTAACAACAGGACTTCACAAACCTACGGCTGACATCACCATGGCTACATCTGTCTTATGTTACCCCTGCAGCCACAAGCACAAACACATTAAGAATATCACTGCCTTCTCTGGGTCATCACGCAAAGATGTCTAATGCTTACAGCTACGGCTGTCACCTCATCTGTATGGAAACAAAATATTTGAGATTCCACAGCATCCACAGCTGGAAGAGTGATTCACATTTTTAAAGGATGCAATGACAGTTTTTTGCTTTGAGTTTCTCAGAGGCCAGTTAAATGTGGCAGGTCGTTAACCGTTTATGTCATCATGTTTGGACACATCTGAACTCCAACTGTTTGTCATCTTCTTCTGTTATTTTTACTTCACGTTAGCTGATAACTCTAATTAGACCGTTGCATAGCAACAGGAAAGATGCTGGGTTCCTCACGCCCACTGTACTCTGGTTATTTCTGTTACTATCCTTTAAAGGAACCGTCACAGTTTTTGTTTTTATCCATGCCCTTCAGTCACCTTTAATCATACATTTTGATGCTTAGAAAAACAAGCTAATCCACCTGATAAGACACAAAAATCAGCTGCATGGGTGTAGATAATAACAATATTTAGCCAAGAAGTCCTCTAACTCAATCACCAGCCCATAACAAATCCACTCATAGGTGATGAATCAGTAATCTAAATGTGTAAATTGCCATTCCTTCACTGATTAGGACACAGTTAAAGCTGGCGTGGTCTTACCTGCTGGCCGTGGTAAAACACGGCGAGGAGGAACATGGCCATCAGGAGTAAAGACGTCTCTTTGGTTCCCAGGAAGTTTCTGTTGGAACGAGAAGAAAGAAGAGTCTGTTCAAAGGGAGCCCTTGTTCGTCTGTTTGACAGGCATGTTAATGGAAAAAAACTTGGGGCATGTCATGGTCGACGTTTAACAATTAATTGTGTTAACAAATCAGTAAGTAACAAATAAAACTCCAGAATTTGCGAGAAATTCTAGAGTTTTATTTGTTACTTACTGATTTTATTTGTTACTTAGTGCCAATTAGGGAAAAAGGGAGCTTCTTCAGTACTATGGAAGTAGTTTGGCTTTGTTGTTGAGAGCATACCTCCAACTAAACATGATACTTAACCTATTTCAGCTACAGATGGAAACAATAAACTTGTTTTACCCAACGAGGCAAAAACACATCGTAAAAACAAGTACAACCAGGCTACAAAGGCATGTGATGGTGAGATACGAGTAGCTGGCGATACGAGACCAAAAGTAAAGAAGTGACTTGACCAAGGATTGCTGGAGCACTTGCTAGCTGCGCTCCATATGACGGGAAGAACAAATGGATGGAAATTACTCCTGCCGTTACGTGGCAGAAAAGCAGAGCTTTTTAAAAAGCTGCACTTTTATTATATCCTCCGGAGAGCCGAGGGAAAATGTATCCCTCAGTTTAACTTTTTTTGTAATTTCCCACCTCGTTAGATCTAAAAAAGGCCACCCAATCAAATGAAATATCATTGGAAAGGCCAGGATGTCCTCTGTTGAGCACATCAGGAATTAGAAGGGTAGCTCAAATAACACAAAAGTTATAGACCAAAAGCAGAGGACATAAAAAGCCGTTCTCAGAAGGATATGTTAATCTTGCTCCTCTTGCCATGTCTGCATCTCATAATGTTTCCTGTTTTATTGTGAAGGGTCTGGCGTTTCCATATTCAGTGTGTTTAGTTTCACTTCTCCTGTGGCGTCATTCTGTTGATTCATTTCAGCTGTTTCCCCATGTTTCCACTTTCCCCGATCACTTCCTGTGTGCATTCCTGTGTGAGTTCTCTTCATTCCTTGTCCGATCGTCCTGCTTTCTCTGCCATGTTTCTAGGTTTTCATGTAACCATGTCTTCATGTTCACATTAAGAGTTTTCTCACGTTTAGTTTCGCCTTTGCCTTTTTATTTTGGACTGTTTAACCAGCCTGCAACAAACGGCTCTCCCTCAGTTAAATCAAAGTTTCGTTTTGTGTGTCTGCACTTGGGTCCTCCTCACTCCACACAGTCTGCTTCCACCACTGTGACAATAACGTTACTCTAGTTATCGTTAAACTAAAGTTTTAAGTAGTTATGTTAGACTTTGAGTTATGTAAAATTTCAACTGAAAACACTCTTATTGTTTGCACTGAAGCACCGCAGCAATTTCCTAATGTTGTAAACCTCAACATCTGGCAATAAACCCCATTCTGATTCTGATTCTGATTCTGATTATTGTACTCATGTTTGATTTATGCTGTGTCATTGCTATTGTACTATTATACTGCTGCTGGCATCAGTAACAGTAGCTCATTGGAAATGAAGAATAGAAACAGCCGTTATGTTGTTTGCAGTGATACATTTTGCTGCCTCCAAGCTGCAAACATCGATAAAATGTTGTATTTTCTGCCTATACTGTCATAAATGTCATCATTGTGAATGATACCGTGAGATCACTTCGAGTCTATATCATCCACCCCTACTGGCTATGCACATAAATACAACCGATCCACATTAAAAGCATTGAGTCTATGTTACCCTAAAGATGCATTTGTTGGGCATTTCTGACCATTTGATAAACACAAATATAAATTATTCATGTTTCTTCTCTTCTAAAGTTTTACATTAGTGTTGATTTTTTTTCCCAGGCAAAACCTGTCTGAGTACACTCTGTTAATGAAAGGTGGTCACATTTTCATTCAGTTTATCTTGGTTTTCATTTTCATGAAAACTTTTTCTTAATAACCTAAATAAACATGTAGTATGATAAACAGTGATCCACAGCATGTTCTTTTGTAATAACCTAAATATTGCTTCACAAAAACTACATCTGAAACCCAGCACCGGTGACAAAAACTGCTCTCCATTAAAGTTGAAACTGCAGGAAAATATGAAAAGACGACACTTTTTTTCTCTTAATCTCACGATTCTTTGTTTTCAGCTCAGACCATAGAAGGATCAAATGTTCTGCGTGATCTGAGGCTGATCTGAGGCTCGCTGAGGATCAACAGCTCAGAGAGATGTGGAGACGGAGCTCCAGGCACTTTACAACGAGTTAGGAGCCAGAATCTCAAAACAAGCGAAAAATAACAGCTCGTTTGTTTTCGCTGCCGAGGATCAGCTTGTGACAGCAAAATGTAGCGTGCAGCCTTTAGTGTGCAGTGATGCCAGAGGAAAACAAATACAAAGCTTTAGATTCTCTAACACCCACAAATAAACAAACACAAGCTCACGACTCGGTGCATATTTTGGTAGAAATAATCATCATCTTTTTAAAGTTTAGAGGCACACTTACGATAGAAACAACACAAAGATTGGAAAACTTCAAGCACTTTGAAGTAAATCAACTCACACCCACAACACACAGCCGGCATGTCACGGAGATGAAAAAGCAGGCAAGCTAAGGGAGTCGGGCCAGGATGGAATTCTGTAAATACGCAGGCTTTTTACAAGAAAGAGGCTCAATTAAACTAATTCTTTATATATGTCAAAGTGTTCGCATTTTTGATCTATTTATAAAATTAAAGATTTAAAACCGTAAATGATGATGATTAATGCAGGTATACGTTAATGTATCTCTGAGTTCATTTCATTGTCATTGAGATATGGCTGTAGAAATATTTAACTTTTACGGGCAAAATACTCAATTAATCAAATGCATTTATTTGTTGGTAAAATATGTCATTATAGACATTTGAACAATAATGTGACAAATATGTAAAAGGAAAAAAATGAACATAAAAATGCTGTTAGTAACAGATCTGTGTTTTTTGTTGTTGTTTTTTACAAAAGAAGGGATATGTGTGATTTCTACATATGGAGCAAACAATACTGGCTAAACTGGGCTTTACTTTCTTTTCCCCTGAGATTTTCTGTCATTTCCCCAAAGGACCTCAAAATCAATCTCCCAAAAGTTTGGTTTTGTTAGCTTGTTTTAGCAGGTCCTTCGTAGTATTTAGGTCACATTTCCTCACATTCGCGTGTCTTGTCTAACACATTGGAGCTTCTTGATTTGAACCTTGACACAAGCAGGCACCTCAGTGGAAGTGCCAAAAACTGCAGTTCTTCTAATGTCCACTAGAGGCTGGCTACAAACGAAGTCAATCCAGAGAGGCTCCCATATGAAACTGTCCGGCCTTACAGCAATATAATCATGCCTACAACCAGCTACAAAAAAACAGTTTTAGCCTTGATAGTTTCAACTTAGTGATAGCAGGACTTTTTAAATCTAACCAGTAGTTGACTGCACATGGCATCAGGCACATTCTGTCGTGGTTAGGCTGTGTGGCAGGCAGGATGAGGACCCAAACGCAGGACTCAAACACAAAAAACTAAACTCAAAGCGGCAACTTTACTCGCTGGAAAAAAGTCCAAAACTAAATACAAGAAGCAAAACATAAAACTAGAAGCTAGAGAACTAAGACTCAGAAAACTAGGAAAATAGAAACAAAGGAACTAAGAGCTGACAGGAGGTAACAATGGAAATCAGGAGCCCAGAGACAACACACAGCATTGTGACGGTACGATGCAACAACAGACAGAGGAACAAACACGGCTTAAATACACCAGGGAGTAATGAGGGAATGGAAAACAGGAGGGAAGCACAGCTGGGGGTAATCTGACACAAGAAGACAAAGGAAGCAAAGCAGACATAGGACACAGACTTTCAAAGTAAAACAGGAAACACGCGAACACAGAGGTAAGGATGACAGAGAACATAGAGACCTGAAATGTGGGGCAGGAAGGCAGGGAAGCACATAAACAAAACCTAAACCATGAGGAAATCAAAGATTAATAATAACACAAACCCCTGGGTCACCGAGCCCGGACCGTGACACATGACCGTGACAAACTGCTCTTAGAATAAAACCTAACCTGAACAAAAACGACAAACAGTGCATTTAATATACGAGGATGTCCTCCACACTAAGCACTCACTCTGTGTTGTGGTGGACGGTGTCGTAGCGAACAAACAGCGACGTGTAGAAGGCTTCAGTCAGCAGCGAGTAGATGGCGATCATCACCAGCAGCACTGCCAGCTTCAGCACGGAGTTCAGTCGCAGGAACACCGCACACGTCACCATCGCCAGCACTCCAGTGAATACAAAATACTGTGAAAAATTAAAACGCATGGTCAACTTCATCTGAACAATAATGTATTTAAAAATGTCGGCAACTCCAATCAGCCACAGCTGCACTCAGTGTTAAATATCTGTCAACAAACACAAGCTTGAAAAGTTCCACGACTCTGCAGATGAACATGAAAAACATAACTGATTCAAATTTGATCAATATCCATTCAAAGTCATCTTCTCATGGACCGCTCTACTGCTTCCAGGGCTCATGCTCTTTTAAAACACAGAAGTCCCATTTGGACCATTTGCAACTGGGATTTGAGACTGGAAAGCTGTTTGACCTGGTAGAAGACGTTGTGATTTGGCTGGATTTTATTTTTCAGTCGATTCTTGAGGTTCTGCCAACCTCCCATAATGTTGATGGTGCAATAATTTTGTGCCAGCACAGACAGAAAAGTGAAACGCTGCATGTGAGCAGCTCAATAGAGCAGAAGGAAAACGAGGAAGACGAGACCGTATAGATGTGTTATATGTATATAACACACCAAAGTGGACACAAGTGGATGGACATCCAGTCGTCTGAACAAACAGTATATATATATATATATATATATATATATATATATATATATATATATATATAAAAGGTGTATAACATTTTCGTGGTTCTTCAGTTTTCTCCAAGCCGATTTTTACATGTGTGAGAATCGTCAGTAGTAGTAGAGTGGGGTAGTTTTGCAATACATTGCAGGAAACCGTGACCTAAACTTGTGCAGATATGAAGTTCTGTGTACAGCTGACTCAAGTGTCATCGCTATAATTCAAGTGAGAAGCATGATCAACACATGATGCACAATGTGGTTTCTTTTTTCATGCACCTTCAATTCATCCCTCATGGTCAGACTTTCAAAGCACAGTACTGCTGTAAAGTCCTGAAGCATCAGAGGGGAAACATTAGAGGAAATGACCTCTGAATGAACTGCAGTGCAACAGCCGTAGCCCACAGTGCACTGAAAAGGTCTCCACTCAACATCTGCCCATTCAGCTGGGACAGCCTATCCCAGCTGAGCGGGCTCACAGGGAAAGTGGCAAATAATAATGATAATAATAATATTATTAATTATAATAATAAGTGACTGGTGAATCTCTGACAGATATCTATACTGTAATATAGTGGATGTTAGCATGTGGTGCAGAGGTTGATCAGAGTGATCTTTGATGGATAACAGTTTGAAAGCTGTGATAGAGAGGAAGTCACTAAACAAAGTCTCCAGTTTGCTGCCAATCATAGAGGAAGATTTCCTAATGGTGCTCAGCAGAGTACGCTGCAGCTGCCAGAATTAAGGTATACAAAAGCACCATCACTCTGCTGCACACAGTGAACACAAGCTTCCTCCCTCGTTTTTGAACAGCCTCTGTGTTGGTCTGCCTGCTGGTGATGAGGACAACCAGGTACTCGTAGTCCTCTACGATATTTGCATCCTGACCCAGGATACATGGGTGAGGCCTTCTTCACCTTCAGAAGCAAAGGCTTTACAATGTCATCCACTATTGTGCTCTCCTCCTCCTCTAGTCTAGCTCTAGATGCTACGACTCAGTTTATTGAAAATTTGAGGCGTTTGACATGTTCAGAGATCTGACAAGAGAGAAGCTTGAAGGGGACACTGGGCAAGCTGGAATTTTATGAACGGATTTTATGAATAGGGACACATTTTGTATTATCATGCAAACAAACTAAACTAAGCATACCTGTTAGCATGCCTGCATTAGCACTTAGAGTGACGTGTGTAACACTTTTACTTAATTAATAAGAGATGACTGCTGCAGCTGCAGAAATCATCCTGACTCTTCACCCCTGAAAACATTCTGTGTTTACCTTTGTCCTCACTGGTGGACTCCCTCACCTGCTCACAAACCTCCTGCTGCCAATCTTCCGTCTCCAAACTGAAGTAACATTTACGGCATCACTATGAACTCATTAGCTCCTCCACATTAAACCTCCATTATCACAAGATGAGAATGAGTCGACTGGCCTTTATGTGTAAAGTTGGTAAAGTGCCCTTTTATAAAAATGAAATATCTGACAGCCCAGCCCGCTCACTGCACCAAAAGCCTCTGACATTGGCACAGACATCAGTTTTTGTCTAATTTAATATTGGAGTGCGTTCTGGTGCGGCCTAAAACAAAGTCAATAACTCTTCTTTATGTGTGTAAAATAGGTCTTATTTGCGCGCATGAGCCTCAGGAGGAAATACGTTTATGATGTATACATGCAACAATACATGAGTCAACCCGAGCTCGGAGCTATAAAAATGTGGCTCCCTTATTGAGTTCATCAATCAGCTGCATATTATGTGAGCAAAACAACATAATGGATATTTTCTCCGTGACGTTCTGATGGCTCCATCAGTCGTAGCGTTGTCTGAGGCGAGACCTCCCTCTGGGCGCGAGCAGATGTCGAGGATGTTTAATTCATCAGTTTGCCGCTGTCACACAAGTGGGAAGAAAAAAAAAGACACAACAGATGGACCCGACTGCAAAATTCAGACACCTCATTTAGTTTGTACCTCTGGGTAGAAGCAGATGTCTGGGATGGAGGCCGATTCGTTGTACGTCTGGTTCCTGAAGGTACTGGACTTGTCGAAGTCGCACCACAGCTATGGGAGACCAACAGGGTGGATTAGTGTTGTTGTGCAGTTTTAAATGATGCAGGATCTGCATAAAAATACCCCACATTCCCTTTCAGACAAATTTCCATCACGCTTTTAATATTTCAAGATAGTTGTGTGAGAAATCGACAGCTGATTTCAACTTTCTGCAGGAAAACACCAAATTTCTCCTGCACAGAAGGAGTGATGCAGTTGACACGAATAACTGAAGAAGACCTGAAGGGTTGAATTAGCAGCAACACAGGATTCTTACAGAAGGGGGGGAAATGTAGATGTGTAGGTAATTAAAATCTGACTAAATAAAGCAACTGAACAAATACTTTACAAACTAAGCAGTTGAGTGGGTTACTTCATTGCAGAATATTGTATGCTCGTTGCTTTTATCTCCAACGTACCTTAGCAGCTTCTATTTTTTAAAAAAAAAATATGTATTTCAAAAATTAAATTAATAAATTACAACAACAGAGTGAGAACAAGGATGTTCCTAGTTGATTAAAATAATAAGAAAATGTGATGCATGGTGTTAAACAGTAATTATTTCATCCCCTACTCAATTTGTAAGTTTGCTCATTCACATAGAAACAAAGTCTTTAATCTTAATGGAGAAAGACAGAACATCAAGCAAAGGTTCAGGAAGAGCCTGTTAATGATCTGAAAGTAGTTGGGACCACAGTCACCCAGAACACCATTGATGACAGACTACGGCATAATGGATTGAAGTCTTGCAGTTCCCACAAGCCCCCTGCTGAAGAAGATACATGTAGAGGTCTGTCCCAAGTTTGGCAGTGAACATCTGAATGATTCAGAGAAGGCTTGGCAGAAAGAGCTGTGGTCAGATGGAGCCAAAGTCAACTCGACCCAACACATGCAGCCAAGCATGGGAGTGGAAACATTACACTGAGCTGTTTTTCTGCTAAGAGTACAGGATGACAATGGGCGGAGTCACGTGGCATAAAATCTTTGACAAGAAGTTTCTTGCCTCAGCCAGAACACTGAAGATGGGTCATGGACCAAAAACCCACCACCAAGATAACAAAGGAGATCCGAATGATCCAAATACTCTAGCTAGTGTCCAGACCTCAATCTTATAGAAAATATTTGGAATGGAATTCTCAACTGGCATTAAATGTCGTACCACTGCGCTTTCCAGCAAGTACGAAGACAAGTGTTGTAGTCTGTATTTACCCCACTGCATGGACTGAGGTACTGCACACCATCAAATCAGCCATGTCTAGATGCCTACATCGTATTCCTCTGTTTCATGAAGCTCCATATTTAATTAACCCATTAAAATACATTTTAGCAGCCATGCTATTGAAGTAGGTGAAATGTTTCTTCATTACCACAAACACACACTTATAAAGAAAATCGCACACACACTGTCCTGTTGCCCGAAGTATGAAGAAATGCTACGGTACTAACCATGTAGCATTCCCATATTTGATGCATTCTGACAGTTATTTTGCAGACAGACATTGACCCCATGTTTTAAATAATATATCTAAAAAAATAAATAAAGAACTCACGATATTGATCATGGCTGCCAGGAAGTTGATGAGGATCGAGACGAAAATGATGACGTTTCGTGCCGCGTAGGTTTCGTTTATCCAGCAGCAGGCTTTTCTCAGGACCAGAGGCAGACACTTGTAGTCCTCCGCTGTCGTAACTAGGACCAGGCAGGAATGGAGGATGATGAGGACCGAGAACTGGATCACCATGGTTACCATGCTGCAAAAACACAATGATAAATATGCCAGTGGGACACTGCAGCTTAGGTCTAGTCTTTATTTGAACAGGTAATCAAACTGACTTTTAAAGAATAATTTGAATATATTTAATTGTGAGCCCAGCATAGTGGTGCAGTTGACAACACAGTGGGCAGCTATTCAAAGACTGTTTTCTTGTATTTGTGTCAGTGTTGATGGCACACTTGCACATAAACCACATTGGAGACTGATGTGTCACTCCATACCCTGCCACCCACTGGTCCTTTCATGTTACTATAGATGTGTAGCATTGTAATTATTGTTATTTAACCCCTTCATACATGAATTATGACAACTTTTTTCTTAAGTATTTTTATTCGTCTTTCCAAACCTAAAGATAAATAAAAACACTGAAGAAGAAAATCCTGATTGAGATTGAATTCATGCATGGAGGGTTAAGTGAAAAATAGTCTGAAGAAACAAAAAAATATTATGTATGTCCAAAACTTCAAACGTATTGTATTACGAGAGGTCTGGGCTCTTCTTTTATGTAATAACAAATTTTACATCTATCCATTCGCTTCCGCTTATCCTTTTCAAGGTCGCAGGGGCCACTGGAGCCTATCCCAGCTGTGTTAGGGCGAGAGGTAGGGTACATCCTGGACAGGTCTTCAGTCTGTCGCAGGGCTACCACCAATATCCTAATACCAATTAGGATTGGGAAATGTGCTCTAAACTCCAAACAGCCCCATGTGGGATCACAGATGACTGATAGCGCAGTCACTTGGGCGGGATGCAGAGGAGGTTAATGTTAGTGTGCACTCAATGGCACTGTCCACCTCCACAATGTACAACGTGTGGCCTAAAAAAATCTCTCCTACACACACACATGTCGGGTAATTATATCTTTCGGGACATCTAATTGACATAATGCTTTCCCTAGCCCCTTACCTTGCCTAATTCTTACACTAAACCTAACCATAACCAATTGTAACCCTGACACTAAAACCACATCCCCATAAGGGCTGTTGGTCCCCACAAGTACAATAAACTTCCAATTTTTGGTCCCCACAAAGATATGAATACACACACACACACACACACACACACACACACAACACACACACACACCACACCCACAACACACACACACACACACACACACACACACACACACACACACACACACACACACAAACACAGTTTATTTCTCCCTTTCAGTCAGAAATGTCCTGCTTCTGTTTTCTCTCATGTGATGTTGATGATGATGATAGATAAGTGTAGCCACTCCACATACAGGCAAATTCAATTTATTATGGATCTCATAATAATAACAATTGAATGCATCAATAGGGAAATGAGGCAAAAACCACCTCAATTGATGAATTATAAGCATTTACTTTGACCACCGTCAATCACCGGCTTCATCATCTATGATCGAACACTAACACCAGTGAGCCACTTTAACCTTTTTAACCAGGCGCCTCATTAAAGAACTCATTTTCCTTTTTACAGCAAAAAGGGAAAGTAAGATTAAACAGGACCACACATGTGAAAGCATCACAACACACACACACACTGGTAAAGGTTTTAAAACGTGTCACCTGCTGGAAAAGTATCTCCATCACATCAAACATCAATTTAATGACTTTTGCTTTCACTTTTCACTCTGGCTTTGGTGTATTCGGTTTTGTTTTTATCAGTTATAGCTCCATATGGTCATCTACTGCACGAACATCTGAACACTGAAGGCTCGCTATTAGCACAGAGTAGGTGTAGTTCTGGAAAACAAGGCACACCACTGAACTAAAACGGGCGAATTACTGAAAACATATGTGGCGCTCTTACAGAATAACACAACACAGGCCAACGCTAACCGAATAAAAATGGCCGCTGCTTTTTTGTCCGGTGCGACCAATTCTTTTTTAAGCTAGGAGTTTTTATAATGCTTAAACTTACACTGAGATCTGGACACTAACCAGATATTCAGCTATGACTCTGGTTCTTTGTTTGGTTTTCATTCACGTGAGTTAATGATGATTTATATAAGGACCTGAAAGCAGCACCATTGCAGGGGAATATTTCCTGAGAGAGTCTGAGAACAACACAAACCTGCAGAATTCTTGTATTTAGTGAAGATTGTGTGCTGTTGTTCTATAGATGCAGGCAGGTATCAAAGCGGCTTTCAGATTGTCAGTTGGCATTACCTTACTCTGTTCTCCTCGGCTGAGATTCATTAAAAGCTTGTGATTCTGCTCGAGCTGACCTGGTCACACAAGATTTCCTTCATAGTCAGAGTCACACAGACGACACAAGGCAAGATACGCTTATAACGCAGCTGTTTCTGCCTCCTTTCCCTTCTTTCCTTCACCTAACCCACTCCCCCCCACCCTCTAAACCTCTGACATGATGAAAAAAAAGAAAACCTCAACCTTTACATTTAAAATACAACCTAAATCTGTCCACTCAACCCAAGTCTTTAACCTCTCACAGATGACATGATCATCTACAGCTGCGTGCATCAGAGAATGCTAACCCATATACCAGGGCTGCATGATTAATCGTTAGAAAATCGCGATCTCGATTCATACTTATGTGCGATCTCATTCCCAAATGACAATGATTTAAAAAATTTTTTTTAAAAAAGACGACGACGATTGTGCCGCATTTTGATCCGGGACGTAATCTGCATGAAAACAAGCGCTCACTCTTCCTGCTCAACAAATGACAAGGGCGGAGCCTTATACCACGTGATACAGAAGCTGGCTGCTAAAATTAGCAGGGAAAAAACAACGGAGAGCACGTCAGGGATGACGAGAAAGTGACAGGAGAAAATCCGTCCCGGTCAACCACCCAAACATCAATAACGGGAACCTTATACAGCGCTTCCCTATACACGTCGAACTCCCGCAGGCACAAAGAAATTACAGAGGCTATCACCTGACCAAAGATATGGCTCCCATCAACACTGTGCAAATGAGGGATTTAGGAAAATGATCAACACCCTAGACAAAAGCTACACAGTGCCGTCCCACAACTATTTTTCTATTGTTGCACTACCTGCTCTATACACGCAGTGTCGAGCAACGGTGGAGACGGAATTTCAAGCAGTACAACATTTTGCGGCAACAACAAAACGTGAGACATTTGTTGTTTTTATGTTCAGTCTCAACTGTTACGAAGTTGATGTGCAGTTAATAAGTGCAATAAATATTTATACTGGAAAAGAGAATCGTGAGAGAATCGTGATCTCAATTCTAAGCCAAAAAATCGTGATTCTCATTTTATGCAAAATCGTGCAGCCCTACCATATACTAAGGCTACATAGGTCAGGGTTTTGTTATGTGATAGACCAGTGAGCTGTCCAGGGTGTACCCTGCCTGTCACCCTATGACCTTTAGAATAGCCTCCAGCCTCAACATGACCCATGTTTTTACACATAAACAAGCACCATGGAACATACTGGACAGCTAGCATTTCCTCTCTGATATGATTTTGGTGCGGTACAGATTAATGTCAGAATTTCCAAGTTCCCCAGGATTTCCATCTGGAACAGCCCCCAGGTAGGACTTTTAACTCGGAAAGTCAATTCAAGATGGCGACAGTAAGCGTAAGCAGTAGTATAACTGTAAAACCTGTAATCTCTAATCTACTGTTTTGCATTTGCGACTCACTAAATAATCCATATGCGCTCCGTCAATGACTGTGCTGCAGCGGTGATTTTAAGCACTTGTGCTGCACTGCTAGCAATTCATGAACGTCTGGAATTCACCAAGAACCAATACAAATCCTGCTTTTGGTGCCTTTAGGACTTTCCTACTGGAACACAACAAGTCACATCCGTCTTCTGAGGGAACTGGAACACGGCATTTTTCTAAGAATAAGATTAGTAAGCAAAGAAGCTACTGTTAGCCAGTTAGCTATAATTTACATATGCTGCACAAAAGGTTAAATTGACACTTTCTGTCACAGTGCAAATGCATGTGGGAGCCCACTGCCCAAACACTCAATGGGAAGGAGAAAACCAACCATCAGAGCAAAAAATGGTTTTCATCCAAGGATATTTATCAGGAGTGTGTTTTAACAACACATAACTTGTTGTAAGTTACAATTTGTGTAAATATAATTCAAACAAATTTGTCATCCCCCCAAAAGCACTAAAAAAATACTTATTACATTTGTGAACAGAAAGAATGAAACCTTAGGTTCCCAACCCTGATGTTGACCCAAGCTTGCCCTGACAGCATTTCAAGTCTCATTGGACCAGTCCCGTTTGTTCACTGGTGATGTTGGGACCAGAAGAGAGGTTTTGAAGCAAGGAACTCAGGAGCAAACATAAACAGTGTATCCATTGGATTTTGGTGCTACACCCACATAAAAATCAGTCCCCAGTGTCTTAGACGCAACCAAGAGGGTCAGGGAAGTTCCTATTTTACACTGAAGGTGCAAAAAGCTGCTACACATGCAGAATTAAGAGATTGTGCATTTTGAAATGATCATTTTATTGAATATCTGCTCTCTTACCTGGCAGAGGGTAGCAGGCTTTGGATGGTTGTGATGAAGACGAGCACAATGAAGGCGCACACCAGGTTGGATTTGAAAACCTCGTCCCTCATCTGTGAATACTGCACAGTGAAGAGAAGACAAAGAGAAAGAAAACGGAGGAGGAGGAGCAGGTGAGGGGAAGACGAGAAACAAGTTTTCAGACAAACAGAGAAGACATCAAAATGCAACTCAAACACGCCAGTGCACTGCCACAGATGCATGCCACGGTTCAAACACAAGCGTTAGAGAGAGACAGGAGCTGGTGGGTTAGCTGTGGGGTCCTGGGGAAGGTGCAAAGCTCACAAGCACAATGCTAGCTTTTAGCAGAGTCAGAGACGAAAACGATGCACGCTGTGTCAAAATAAGCAGACTGCAAAGCTAAAACTCAGGTGGGACTTCAAATGGTTACTATATTTAGAGTAGGAATAATATCAAATTAATTAGCTTTTTCTTTCAAATGTCTTTTTAGTCCTCAAGTATCAATGCTAACAACTCAACCAAATAAAAAACTCTAATAAGGATTTCTAAAAGCCTCAACCTTTTTGCCTTTTTGACTTTCTCCTACTTTTTTCTTCATATTTTACATATAGACCTACTTTCTAATTTTTATATTCTGAAACCTGGTATAGTTATTCTAGCAATCAATGTAAATAATCCAGAGCTGTGAGGAAACCTTCAGACTATTTGCACCTGGCCAAAGGTTCAAGAATTTTCTTAATGTTTGATCAAATGACCTGTTCTCTTAAATAAGAAGACTAGCTTGGCTGCTACACTAAAACAGAAAGAGATACGCTAGCCTGTTTAACAAGTACACAAAGGGAGATATTAAAACACTAGTTGACTGTTTTAATCATAACCATTACTCATAACACTTGGAAGATATTTTTTAATTTTGGAGAGCACCAAGCTAGCACTAAGCTAGCACTAGCCTAGCACCATGCTAGCGTACTCATGCTAATTAGCTTACTAAATGCACAATCATAACAGTAGTATTCACTGTCTTATCAGATAGCTATATTTATTATTGCTGCTAAATACTTCACTGTTTCTGAATATTTAATTTAAAAATATTTAAAGTCTTTATTTAACACATTTTAAATTTCTGATCCTGTGGCTTCTGCCGAGTTACACGAACATAACTTGACCTGAGTCACCAGTCTGACCAAACTGCCCTGAATTGTTTCACTGAAAACTTCCCACCCTGTAACCCCCGCTGCCCCGTCCTCGCTCTGTCTCTTTCTCAAAGGGTGCTGGGAAATTAGCAAGAGGATGCTTCACGTTTTGTCACAACTTTGGCAAAAAAAGATGAGGGAGGCCAACAGCAAATCACTGCACATTTACTAAAGAGGTTAAGAGGGCAACAAAATAATAATAATAATAATAATAATAATAATAATAATAATAATAATAATAATAATAGATTCTTGGAAAAAGTTTATAATGTAAGATTCAAGGGGAAACACAAATGTGAAGAGGGAGGAGCAAAACGAAAGTCAACTTAAAGGTCAAAGTGAGCTCAGTAATGTAACAAAAAATAGGGTAAAAAGGGACTAAAAGCTTCAGAAGTTCACTGCATTCACTAAAGAAAAGGCGGGAAAACACAGACACACTTTCCAACTTCCATATCTCATGATAACGACAATGAAAACTGGCAGCTGTGTTTAACCCCATTTAGATGTTTGTATTTGAGTTTGTTTCTTTTAAAGGCGAAATAAAATACAAAACCACTTTTTAAATATCTTTAAATTTGTTTTCAGATTAATAAAATCACAAACTGCTAAATGGTAAGGTATGACCTCATCAAAGGTCATTTGACTATTGACACTACTGCTTATATAGAATTGTAAATACTTTTTTGTGTAGTTTCTAACACAATAGCGACACTAAACGACATACCACAGATGATTAAAAAAGTAACAATAAATAATATTTTATAATAATAAATCCTAATGTAGACACTCTAGTATTACATATAGTACATTTAACAGAAATAAATATTTCAAACATCTTATCATTATGACACGTTCAGCTGCAGTTATGGGATATGGAAGTCAGGATTTTGAGAAAAAACATATTTTTTCCTGTCATGCTGTTTTCCTTTAGTGAATGCAGTGTGCTCCTGTAAACAAAAGAAAAAAAAGAAAAAAAAATTGAGTTGAATATGTTGTCAACTTTTTCCACAGGACTGTAAAAGGGGTCCACGGCATGGACGTTTGGTCATGAGTAAACTGAAGGTGGAAACTGGACTCCAGGTGTTGGCAAACATCATGTTTCATCCAGCTTCGAAGCTTGGCGAAGAAAAAAAATCTCACATCCTTCATCAGATTTGAAGCACGTCAAACATGAGTCACAGTTACACGTGTTTGATGTGTGAGAATAATAGTTACATTAACTCACAGAAGATATTAATGCCATGCAGAGTTAGTCTGTAATGTTAGAGATGAAGCTGATTGTGTTGTTATTACGGAGTGTGAAGTGTGCCAACAGAATAATAATTAATTGTTGTATATTTTTAACCTGTTTTGTTTGAACATATAAACCTGAGAGGAATCCTAAAATACATTTAATTAGAAGAATTTAATTTCACTTTCTTTCATTTAAATTGCATAATGGAATTATGGATAATAATATACTAACTCAAATGCATTAATTATTGACTGATTATAAAGTCATTTACGAGCCAAACATACACTCACAGCTTTAAGCTGAAAATTCTGACATGTCACTTCTGCTGCTACCTTGCAACACGGCCTGCTGTTTGAAGCCCTCCACCATCGCAGCATATGCTCCTGCAGGATATATACTTATCAGACACCCAGCTCTATATGCAACACATTTGCTAATGCTACAGCCACACGAGGCAAAACAGTGTTTGGGGACCATGACACAATCAAAACGACTGTGACCATGTGCAACAAACTTACAGTGGCTGCTTTGAAGATAAAACAAAGTCTGCAACAACTTTCACTCCAATCAGTTGCTGCCTTCAAAGCAACTGCTGTTACAACCAAATTTCCCCTAGTGGGACAATTAAACGATTATTCTATTCTATTCTAACTTCGAAGCTTTCAATAAACTTACAATAAGATGAAGCGAGTTCAGTTAAGTTCATAAATTCCTCCATAAATAGCAACATAGTTGCCACAGGACAGCAGTTTAACTGCAAAATGGCCCCGGGCCTCGACAACCAAGGTGTATAAGCGGAACAGTTGGCAACTAGTTAAGTTGTGTTCCCTGTTGCAAGGAGATGCAGACTTACATGTGTACATCTGTCTGCATTTATGAGTTAGAGGGTGATAATTTACAGTCAGTCTGGAGGCAGGTGAATTGTGCAATCTTACAATCAAAAGCGGTTGACTAGCTAACTAATTGCAAACAGGCAGTGGAGGAGAAAGAATCCAATGTAAGGAAGGAGGTAAGCAAGAAAGTTGCTTCTCCTACTTTTACTCTAGAGTGATGAAGCCTAAATCCCAAACACTACCTGTGTGCTACAGGAAGGAGGGCTAGATGTTGGTTAGATGTCTGATAGATATTCTGTGGCGTCAGTTTTCTTGTTTTGCTTCATTTCAGAGCTTTTCAGAGAAAATCCAGGTCGACGCCAATGTCTGGCTTAACCTTCTGCATTCTACGTTCTGCTGTATTAATTATTGTGGTGGCACACTTCAGAGTCCATTTGCTACAAAGATGAGTAAGTCTTTAGCTAAAAGAAAATCCTTGACCATTAAATCTATTTTGCAGTGCATCGTATCCCCTCCCCCCAAAAAACACAACTTTTTTTATTAAGTCATTAAAAGTTGTGGAATCTTAAATTGACTCAGATTAACAGTAAAATACAAAATGTGAGTCTTTTGGTTCTTGCAATCCCACAGTAGTACCTCATGTGCCTTTAGCTTACTCATGATGGGACAATAAAAAATTGCTGGTTATTGTTTTGCTTCTGAAAGTCGTCATTTAGGAAAAGATATGAGGAGGGAGAGAGAAAGAAAAAAACAGTTATCTGTCTAAAACCCCAGCTACCTTCTCTTCCAGGCTGGAGTCTTTAAACATCAGTGAGAAAGGCTTGATATGCTCTCTTCTCAACTTATCGCCACTCCGTAAGTCGATGGCGCTCTCTATTCGCTTGTTAATTTCCTCAGGACCAGAGTGGACATGCAAAGCTTGTGCGAGATGGTTTGGAAGCAGATTTATCGAATTTCTCGTTAGGGCAGCCAGAGTCTAGAGGGAAAGCACATGCACATAGAATGAACCTGCTTGTCCCCCTTTTGGTTTCATTCAAGTTACAAATGAAAAAGAAGAACAGACACACAGTTACATTCAGTACATACACAAAAGAAAGTTAAGGAAAAGGAAGAAAAGGGAAGACCAAAATGCAACATCGGCTATCAGACCGACACTTCAGAGCAAGTCATGCATCTTCCATTCACCCCTGCAGCAGGTTCACTTTGCACTCGGGTTAGTGGTGACAAAGCTCTAAAAATAAGCACGCATTATAACAAAGCTGTAACTCATGTGCGGGACGTGAAAACAGAATCGAAATGGCAAATCGTGAAATGAAGGACAGAAAACAAAGGTTTGGATAGAAGCGGAGCAAATGCGCAACCATTTATTTCCACCTGTTATTATTATAACCTTCAAAACTTTCCAGAAACAAAGTTAAACTCCATTAAACCCTCACCCCAGACAACCCTGCAAGACATTAATATGCACTATTATAAAAGGTAATTGAACAGCGCAAGGCTCTTTCTTTACAAGGGTCTCCTCGGGTTTTAATTTACCACTTCATCGCTTCCCGTCTCACTCGGCCTTCCTTTAACTAAAATATATCCAAGGTCAAAAGCTGCCATAACTCTCTTTTTAAAGCAACCCTTTTCATCCTCTGCAAATCAAGTCTACTAGAATCATTACAGGCTTTTGCCCCAAAGGTTTTCGGGTGAGATCATTTCTGCTTACAGACGTTTCAGTCTGACTGTGAAAACGGCCAAATCTACAAATGTAGAAACACCGAGGTCAGTACATCCGGATTTACTCTGCAGTTATTTTGATTATACTTTCATGAGGTCACCAGCATGCAGATCCAAAAAGATACAACTGATGAATCATTTACTTATTCATTTAAAGGCTATTAGCCCATATCAGAGCTGACACTGGAGTAAAACACAGCGCTTCATGCAGGCTGTGTAAATGCACAAACATGAAACACAAACTATAAAGGACTAAATGTCCGACCTCAAAGGTCCAGAAAAGGTTTCACATATGTAACAAAGGTGTTAAAATACTTGTCGGCACAGTTTTGTCTAAATTTTAAATGTCTCTATAATTTTAGGTAAAATATAAATTTAACTCTTAGATGTTCAGGTTTTACCGTTTAAGCCAGCGGTCTCCAACCTTTTTAGCGCCATGGACGGGTTTATGTCCAACAATATTTTCACGGACCGGCCTTTAAGGTGTCGTGGATAAATACAACAAAATAAAATCAGTACCAAAAATCAAAATCAGTATCGGTGCCAAAAAAAGAAGATTTACTCATAACACACGGGAAAGACCCAGGGAAACGGAGTTAATGATAAAAATGATAAAAACCCTGAAAACCATAAATTTCACACTCGAGCCTCAACTCTCGCGGCCCGGTGCCAAACGACTCACGGACCGGTCTGTGGCCCGAGGGGTGGGGACCGCTGGTTTAAGTTATGTGGGACACGTTTATTACAATCTGACATACACTCTGTATCACTGGCAGAACATCACTTCACAGCAAGTTAGTTCTGGGTTTCAGTTCAAACACATTCGTTTTAAGATCCACTGTTTAGATATGAGACACATAAAGCTTCAGTGAGGCTAGAAAAGTGTTTTAAAGACACACTTTCAGTGTCTGTGTGAATAACAATAACACTGCTCTGCAGACTGTGCACCTTTTTTTTTTCTATAGTTACGACCCCCTCTGCATTGGGGGCTCGTCCATCCTTTTTTTTCCCGTCGGGTTGACTCGTTCTTTGTTCTTTGTTCGTTGCCGTTGTCGCAGGTGTGTTACCGGTGTTCTTGGTTAGCTCTACTTTTCTGGTTGGTAGTTTTTTCTTGTGTGGGAGGGTGTGTGTTAGTATGGAATTTAAATTGGAGGATTTCGCTTTAGGCCCAACTGAAGAAAAGCTGGACAGATGTAAAAAGGATGACCTCATTCTTATTGCCAATTTCTTTGATGTGACTGTGCCATTGAATGCAAAGAAAAAGGAGCTTAAAGAGCTCCTGTGTATTAAACTGCATGAAAGGGGGTTGTTTGGTGAGCCAGGTCCTGCAGAGGGAGTTGAGCTGGGAGCTGTTGTTGGTATTCCTGCCCCACTGAAAAATCTCCCTTCTCAAACTGGCCCTTCTGCGGAAGAGCTGCAGTTAACACTGCGCATAAAGGAGGTGGAGTTAAAAAACCAGCAGTTGGAGGTGGATGCCATGCACTTAAAGGTTAGGGCTCTGGAGATGGAGAGGGGAGCCGCTGTATCTGCCAGTCCTCCTACACCTCGGTCAGCCCCGCAGTTACCATCCCAGAAGAAGCAAGAAGACAGCTTTGATGTAAGTAGGCACATCACATTAGTCCCAGCATTTAGAGAAACTGAGGTAGACTCTTATTTCACAGTGTTTGAGCGCATTGCAGGTGGACTACACTGGCCAAAGAATGTATGGTCTCTTTTACTTCAGTGCAAATTGGTGGGGAACTGCTGCGCTGACGTGAACATGCAGTGTCCTCCTCGTCTGCCTAATATTTGAACTCTGTTTGTAAACTCTGATATACAGCTGACCTTAGTTTTATTACAGTCTTGTGTCTGCTGGCCCACTTTAGTTAACCCTTAGCTTTTACTCTTGCCTGTTCTTTTCTTTGTGTATTAATTGTTTCCGCGGTGGTCTGTTGAACAGCCCCGTCGGTTTTCAGTTTAATGTTTGTAATAAAACCCCTTATTTACTCTGATTTCGTGAGAGGGCTTGTGTATGTTTCTCCCCTCCTGTCGCCTAGCAGAGGGGGTCGTAACAGTATCCGTGCATCAAGGTACAAATTAAATTGTCCCCAGAGGTTTAAAAATTGTTACAAACTCAAGGCTACAGTTAAGTTCCCTCCTTCAAGGGTAAAACTGCAGCAGCTTACAGTGACAAGCTGTTGAGTGTCATTGTAACAAGGATCAAGGATCGCTCGTAGGAAAAAGGAAATTAACCTCTTCCTCACATGTCCTCCTTTGGTGTTTTTTCTCTATCGATGACCTCAGCCTCCACTTTGACTCTTTCTCAGCAAACTGGGAGCAAAAGACAAAAAGCTGTACAGCCCATCCTGACGTAGATGACATGTTGGCTCCAAAGGTAAAAGCGATGTAGGTCACACATGAGGATCAGAGTCATTTTCTCAGGCCCATTGACATTAGCTACCCATCATTATTAGGTAGCCACATATTACAAATTACCCTTTGAAGTGTTTGAAACCTGTGGAGCTGGCAGCCATTAATGATGATGGACACGTAGTCAAATTCAACATTTCTCACCAATTCTGACCGATCCAACGTCTCACCTCATCTCGCTTCATTCAACACATTAACGCGCGACATCCATCGTGCTCAGAGAGATCATTAAACGTTCGTTTTCAGTATCTAAATGAAGGTTCTCAAACAAACACCTTCATTAGCGGATGCCTCTTCTTCTGTGTTTCATGTCAGGGCTCCTCTGACCGTCATTACATGCAAATGTGAGTCCAATCAGAGCTACCTGGAGCTTATAAATGACGGCAATTTAGAGGTCTATCAGACAGTGCCTCATGATTCACGAGAAGCAAGATCACTTTTTACTGTCAGATGAAAGATTCTCACGTCTCATAACCACAGAGTGAACGTTTTATTAATTATTCATTATAATTAATAATAAAGAAAACGTAATTATATTTTAAAGTCTGAGGTTCTTGCTGGAAATGCCTTTATTGGTGAAATGCCTGTATTGAGGTAAACCTCAGATTACAGTGACGACAATCCTTCTTATTTGTGTTTTCCTGGATTCAGCCGAGAGTGTAGCTGAACTATCGACCGTGTCTGACTGCGTCGGGCTTCAGAAGAAGTCCTCTGTTTAATGATGAATGTGCTTTGAGGCTGACTAAAATCTTGACTTTCGTGCACCTCTGGAGTATCTTGTGTTCTGCTGCTATTTTTAGCTCCCTCTGTGACCTGCTCCCTCGCCTTCTACTTGTGCCTCTGCACAGCACACCGGATCTCCTTCAGATTTTTGTTGTGGGCAGCTAGGCAAAGGCCAAGATTGTGTTTTCAGTGGGCTCTGATCCACCACACAGCTCAGATTGTTTCCTTTGATTTATCTCACGCGCACACTTTGGGCTGTTATCGTCGAGCGTAGGGCTGCACGATTATTTTCACTGAAATTGAGATCTCGATTATTTGACGATATTTATTTAACCCTTTAAGACCTACCATAGAA